TGCACAGTGTAAGCAGTTAAAAGGAGGCTTCCAGTGAGCAATCAATGCACTGTGGAACAGATGCAGGCAGTTTAATTTCTTGAATTTCCCTCAGAACATCTGGTATCAGATGGTTATTTATCAGTTATTTAAGACGACGATGTTATGAATGGGGATGCAATACATAAAGGCTGATACTGTTTGGTACCATGCTGTAAATATGCTTATTAAAGGTCTTGAATTCAACACGGGGAGACTGTGTGGACAGACTCGCTTTGGCGTTGGCTTCTCTTAGAGAGGATGTTAAATTAACTTTGTTTTAAAGCACGAGCTCCCTGCTCTTGTGGCTCAGATGCAAATAACATGTAAAAAAGCTACTTATCAACACATCTCTAACACATTTACAGCTTAGATTTAAATCACAAGGTTCTGGCACGGCCAGGGTAGAGTCAGTATCAGCAGGAAAAGCCAAGTCCATTATGTCATCCTTCACATTTTCAAAAGCTGTCCAGAGGGTCAGATCTGAGTCTTTGCCAGGACAATTCTGGCCCCCAAGACATTTGAATTCACCATAGTCTAGTGCATGTAATAGTGCATGTAACTGACATTTGATACTGCTACTTACAGCCAGACTGGAAGAAAACCTTAGTCCTGTGTTTAAAGTAATAAATAATTGTTAGTCTTTTCTCATGTAAAATACAGAGGCCTATCAGTTCTTCGTTCTTCATAACAACATGCAGCCTCACAGTGCCAGTGGTTCATACCTTTGCCTTTCCTCTCTTTGTCTTGAGTTACTATTGCCGAGTGGTTGCTGCTGACCGGTGTTTCAGTGCCTTTGTGTGCCACTCTGCTCAGGCAGGGTTTTGTTAAGACCATGAATGGCCCTTTTGTCTGTCCAAACTATCTCCTAGACTCCCTGATCCTTTGCCATCCATCCACTGAGACCTTCTTCTCTTTGCCCCTGTGTAATCACATCATTAGCGGTCTGTCTACAGAACGTACCCAATGGCACGAATCTAAGAAGATATCCAATCATACTGCAGCTCTCGGTTTACTGCCCAGACAGGAACCATGTGAGATGCATTCCCTTTGTTTACATGGTTTAACAATCAAGCAGTCAGCCTCACTTATCATTCCTGCTTTCCAGCGTGACACCACGTGACGTTTTATTTATAGCTGTCAGTGTCCAGGGAAGAGGGCAAACCAAGCTCTGTGAAATAGCTTTCTAATTTTGTGGAGAGCTACTATGTGTCTAACTAACTATGTGACCAACAGATGGAGGTCCAGGCTCCACCGGGGACCACCATAGGGTACGTCAAACAGGACTGGCACCCTTTCCTGCCAAAGTTTTCCATCCAGGGAGCAAACAAGGAGACACTCATGAGACTGGAGGGGCCCTGCTTTGCCTGCAACTGCTGTGGAGATGTCAACTTTGAGGTGAGCTCAGAGGGTCGTTGTTTGTGGGGGAAACCGAACTCTGAGTAAATTTCATCCATCAGCCAACAGTGATTTGTTACAGATCCACTCAGATAATCTAAACAGGACTGGTAACAGTCACAGAGATGTTGATGATGATTTTCATTACGTCAAAGGAATAGTTGAGAGTTTTGGAAAACACTTTCTATTCACTTTATTATAGAGTTTAGTGAAAAGGTTGATATGACTCTTATCTGTCCATAAAATATGAAGGTACACCTCGAAGTCAGGCTACTATCCAGCCTGTGCAATGAAAAAATTAAATCTTCCTATTAGTCTCACTTCCTGGTTTCCCACATGACATCCTGCACACATTACTTGAGAATTGACATGATACAACTACTGGCTGCAAGTAGTTGTGATTAGACGCAGGAGGCATGCAGGGGAAATGCAATTGTAGGCAGGCTAAAGCAGCTTAAACAGCAGATCAGGTCAGCTAATCTGCCAGGATTGCAGCAGAGCCTGATTTTTGTCATCCGTTTGCACAAAGATTGTGCTTGAGATTTTCTTTATTACGTAATCTTCTTGTGTCTTGGTGAACTTGCTTGTCACTATTTTCTCCAACAAGCACATCTCATGAAAGGACAAAATGCCACCAATAATAAATATCACATTATCATTGATAAGCTTCTATGATAAAACTGGAGAAATACTTTTCCAACCCTTCCATGACTCTAATTTTTCCCATTAATTTGACACCAAGTGAATGATCCTTAGTGCTGCTGGTGGTCGGATTGTGTTACCTTTCATACAGAACCAAAAAAGCTGTTTTATCTCCTGATAAGTGCATGTTAAGCTTTTATTTCTCAGCAAGAAGGCAAGAAAATTTTAAACAAATCAGCAGCAAGGCTGATGTTGTTTCCATTGTTTAAAGAAAGTGTGTGCGACAGGATTAACAACTTGTGACAAACGCTGTTATTGTTATTGTTTTGCAGCTGAAGGGGAAAGATGGTGGCACACCCATTGGTCGCATCAGCAAGCAGTGGAGCGGCCTTTTGAAGGAAGTATTCACTGACACAGATAATTTTGGCATCCAGTTCCCGCTGGACTTGGACGTGAAGATGAAAGCTGTGCTGATGGGAGCCTGCTTCCTCATTGTAAGTCCCCAATCTAGAAGAACGTAGTTGATTTTGAAATATGTGATGTGTTGCTGAATAAAATAATTCATTACTTTTGACGTTGCTCTGCAAGATTTCATGTTCTTTGAGAAAATCGGAGAGGCCAACAAGCGCAGCAGTGTGTTTTCATAACAGAGGAAAGAGGAACCGTGGGGAGCGGCCTATGATGTTTTCCTGTTATGTAACATTTGTAATTTTTTTTGTTCATTTGTTACCAGTCCCATAATCCATTTATATACACATACATCTCATTGTGAGTGAATAAACTCTTGATTAGATTTAAAAGTTTGAATCTCTCAAAAGTCAAAGACTGAAGTTTTCAGTGTTTCTGTACAGTCTGTAGATGTTTCACCTCTTTTTAAGCACATCACTGTATTCATAGCAAACAATTCACGCTACCAAAGTTAAACTTGGAAACAGGTGTGGACACGCATCCTTTTGAATGTGTTTTTGCTGCACTTGTGTTCACATTTAATTTCTTTCTTCTTTTTTGTCACCATCAGTTTGTCTTTTATTGTTAGTAATTTTATGTGCTTGCTCGAGCTTTATAAAGATATAACAGCATATCTAGTAGAAGTACAATACTGTTTTGTAGAAGATGTATTCATTGCTTTGCCTTCATTTATCCAGTTAAATGGTGGCAGAGTCGATCTGTCAGTCCATTGCTTTGATATGATGATCATCATAATCTGTGTACAGATATTTTTTTTTTAATTTAAAAGTTGGCTTTTGTTTATTACTTTGGTGTATGCTCTACCAACCTATTACATTCCTTTGAGCCTCCACTGTAGACTGTATTTAGTGTTAATCAGCAAGTGTTGGCATGCAAAACGCACTAAGATATGATGCTTGACATGGTAAGCCTCAAACCTGCCTTGGCTTCATTATATCAATGTCACTGTGAATATCTTAGCATAAGTATTTGGCGCTAACCACTTGTGGGCCAGAGTTCCACTACACAGAGCCACTAGCACAGCTTTTAATCTTTTTGTCACTTATCAGAAGCCATATAGAAAACTTAACGTTAGCCACAGGAATCCCGCTCTGGTTGTTTAGCTCAGGGTGGCATCATGTGCAAATGTTAGCGTGTAAATACACTGAAGTATAATATGCCGATATGCTAATTATTAAACCTGCTTGACATTATTTTATCATCCATGTAAATAGTTTATCTTTAAGCTCAATTTGGGCTAAATGCTAACTACAGCCAGGAGGTGCATCACCCTAAGTCCTTTTGTCATTAACTAAAGCTTATGGGAAACATTTAGCCACAGTAAACTGGCTGTTAGCATTTAGCCCACATAAGGAAGTGACATCGTACTAGCATGTAGACATGCTAACTTAGGTGGTTGAAATGGCAAGCATCTTAACTACTAAACAACCTGTTGTTAACATGTGCCACTGCTGAGGTTTTAGCATTTAGCCCAAAGCTCTACTGTGCCTACGTACAGACAGTACCTGGCTTGTCCTAATTGTGCAGTTAGTTGACTGCCTTACAAAAAAGTCTGAACGAGTTAGCCGCTGTCACTTGTTTAGGAATGCGTTGCCTTTATTGGTGTGAAGTTGTGAATCACACGTTTTTACCAAAGTGCACTCTTTGTATTCAGCAACATGTCTTCAGCCACGGTGCATGATGCAAAGCTGTTGCACAGGCTTGACTCTAAATGATCCTGTGCTCCCTTTATGGAGTTTGGTGGTTGCCTTTGACACTGGTGACACCTCACCATCCAGTTTCCTTCACATACCACTGTGTTTGAACATGTGACTGCGTAATGACATAGGGGAGAGAGAAAATGCAGGCTGAGGGAAAAATTTAAAAACAGATGTTGAGGTTAGTGAGCATTGATCTGGCCTCAGAATGGTTGGAAAACCCCACAGGCAAAGCTTGCATGAAACACTGTGTAGTTCCTAAGTCCCTGGAAAGAGTTGGTGCAGTTATGACTGCTGGTACAGAGAAATAGAGAGGAGACCAGAATCTTAACTGAATCAATTGACTTGTTT